GGGGCGGTTTGCAGCCGAGTGTGAAGCAGCTGGGATGAGAATCAGCACCTCCAAATCCGAGGCCATGGTTCTCAGTCGGAAAAGGGTGGCTTGTTCCCTTCAGGTTGGTGGAGAGTTCCTGCCTCAAGTGGAGGAGTTCAAGTATCTTGGGGTTTTGTTCACGAGTGAGGGAAGGATGGAATGGGAGACTGACAGGTGGATCAGTGCAGCTTCTGCAGTAATGTGGTTGATGTACCAGTCCGTCGTGGTGAAAAAGGAACTGAGCTGTAAGGTGAAGCTCTTGATTTACTGGTCGATCTACGTTCCGACTGTCACCTATGGTCATGAGCTTTGGGTCATGACCGAAAGGGCAAGATCCCGGATACAGGCAGCCGGGCGTACCCTCAGAGATAGGGTGAGGAGCTCAGTCACCAGGGAGGAGCTCAGAGTAGAACTGCTGCTCCTCCACATCGAGAGGAGCCAGCTGAGGTGGCTCGGGCATCTGTTTCGGATGCCTCCTGGGCAACCTACCTAGGGAGGTGTTCTGGGCATGTCTCACCGGGACAGGCCCCGGGGAAGACCCAGGAACGCTGGAGGGACTATGTCTCTCGGCTGGTCTGGGAACGCCTTGGCCTTCCCCTGGAGGAGCTGGAGGGAGTGTCTGGAGAAAGGGAAGTCTGGGCATCTTTGCTTAGACTGCTGCCCCTGCAACCCGGTTCCGGATAAGCGGAGGAAAATGGATGGATGGATAATAAAGCATCATTTATATAGCACTTTACAACTCCGGACGGGCCCAAAGTGCTGCACAGTAAAAACATATTTATAGACTAAAACAATAAACAAACAATCAACCAATATTAAACAGTCAAAAAACATAGAACAACATGTACACAATGCCATTTAAACAGATAAAACAAATTAAAGAGCAAAAGCCTGTTTAAAAAGGTGCATTTTTAATGTAGATTTAAAAACCGTTAACTCAGTAATAGACCTAATCTCAAGCGGTAGCGAGTTCCAGAGTCTGGGGCCATAAACAGCAAATGCGCGGTCACCCCATTTATTTGATCGGAACCGTGGAACCACTAAGGACAAGTTTTTAGAAGAGCACAGGGCTCTACGAGTAACATAAATGGATAGAAGTTCAGACAGATAAGATGGAGCAAGACCATATAAGGCTTTAAAAACAAATAAAAGAGCTCAATTTTAAAATGTACAGGCAACCAATGTAATGTGCGAAGAACGGGAGTAATATGGGCATACCTGGGAGTGTTGGACAATAGCCAGGCCGCCGCATTTTGGACCAGTTGAAGTTTCCTCAACAAAGATTGCGATATACCAGGGTAAAGGGCATTGCAATAGTCTAATCGCGAAGTAATAACAGCATGAATTGCTTTTTCTAGGTCTCCTTGGGGTAAGAAGGGCTTAACCTTCGTTAAAAGTCTAAGGTGAAAGAAACTGGTCTTGACAACGGCTCTGATCTGCTTATCAAAAGTACAACCGGTATCAAATATCACTCCCAGGTTTCTTACCATGTCTGTGAATATGGGTGTAGGGGCCAAGAGACTGGGTACACCTGCGGCTGGTTCGGGGCTGATAAGGATATATTCGGTCTTATTCTCATTTAATTGAAGAAAATTCTGGGCAAGCCAATTCTTGATATCCCGAATACACTTCTACAGTGGAGTAAGTGCATTTGGGTCGGATAATACCAATGGCATATAAATCTGAATGTCATCCGCGTAGAAATGGAAATGAACATTGTGCCTGGATATAATTCACGCAAGCGGTGACATATATAAAGAGAAAGGGCGCCAAGGTCGACCCTTGAGGAATGCCAGCAGTAAGATGGGCTGTGTCGGAAATAAAATCATCAATTATGACAGAGAAGGTTCTGTTTCTCAAAAAAGAACTAAACCAGTTTAGAATCGTAGCCCTCAGCCCAACTCTGTATTCCAGTGTCGATAATAAAATGGCATGATCGACAGTATCAAATGCTGCTGATAAATCTAGTAAAGCTAAAATAACGGTATAATAACATAGTGTGGGTGCCACGATAATAAAGACTAGGATAACATAGTATGGATGCTGAAAAGCATCCATACAATAATAAAGAGTAGGATAACATAGTATGGATGCTTTTCAGCATCCATACAATAATAATAAAGAATAGGATAACATAGTGTGGTTGCTTCGCATCCACACAATAAAGAACAAGATAACAATAGTGTGGCTGCTGAAGCATCCACACAATAAAGAACAGGAGGGCATAGTGTGGATGATTCACAGCATCCACACAAATAAAGAACAGGTTAACAATAGTGTGGCTGCTGAAGCATCCACACAATAAAGAACAGGAGATGCTTTACAGCATCCACGCAATAAATAAAGAACAGGAGAGCATAGTGTGGATGCTTTACAGCATCTACACAATTACAGGGTAAACTAACAGAGGTGTCAGTCAGAAATACAATCTCACATAGCTCTAGCTCAGGTCACTGATTGCAGCATGGCAATCCCAAACTTGGAGGGTGACAGCCAAATATAACAACACCTAATCTCAAACATATTTTCTCATTTCCAATGTGAGGAAGCAGGTCTTTGCATTTCTATTATTTTAGACAGGCTCAATCAAATGAGCAGAGGCAGCCAAAGGAGACCTGGGCTGCAACATAGGGAGGAAGCAGACTTGCCTTTTCTGTTCAGAGTTGTGAATTTGTTTTGACATCACAGTGTGATTGGAAATTGAACATACTGTGTATTTGGATGCAGAAGATGCTGGCTGAAAAGCAAAAAAACTCACTGAGTTGTAGGTTTTGTTTTTGCTGTGCACAAATAGACTACCTCATCATAATAATCAGTCAGAAAATGCCTGAGTCCTGCCACTGATACATGTTTTATGGCCACTGGCTTTAGATTTGCTGCCCTGCTGATGCCCTCCATCTATTGGATGCAAGACTCATCCAAACATATGTAAATAATTGGGATATAATACTTAAATGCTAGGAGATAAGAAAAATGAAGAAATAAGAAAAGTGCAAAGATTGAATTCCACAAATGTTTTCAGATGCACAAGTGCACCTGTAATAGGCATTTTTTTACTGTGGCATGTCAAGGAATTTGGAGTGTTTCCCTTTGTTTAAGCACATGGACTTTATTCATTTCACATATAATAAAATTAAAGAGGTTGGTTAGGCTAATCAGTTTGGGCTGTGGGTCTGTGGTTGAGTGAATTGACTTGTATGTTTCCAAAAGCAGGTCACTTTGTTTTATGAAAAACAAGTCTTTGGAAAAATGATTGGCTATGCTGGGCTCCAGCTTGAACATGAACACAATTCATAGAAACAAAATTCTTTTCCCCTGCTCTTAAAAATGTTGAGCCTCTAACAGCCAATCTGAGCTGTTCCTGCAGGACAGGTGTCTGTGATTTAAAGCTCTCCTGCCAGCTAACCATTCATATGTATCTTATTGGCATTCAGGTATAGGTTGTAAAATTTTATATAAAGACCTTTAAAAGTGAAAAACAGTGACACAAAGGCTTTTTGTCTGTGCCAGGCGGCAAGGTTTTAGGTAAAGGAATGTACAGAGACAATAAACTTTTTGATACTGTTCATCCAATTACCAGGGGGATCTATTATGTGTAAAGCACTGGGAAAATATTATTTAGTTCCAGTGCATCAATGAATTGTTATGTAGGCCTGCATATCGCTATACACTGCATCTTTTTCATGTATCAGTGATACTGCTGTGTAGCTTTAATCTGTATCTTCTTGGAGGGAAATGACCAACACTTTGTCAAACATTCATATGTACTCTGTATTGGAAAGAGATGCATCAAGTCAGATGGTGGGTGGGAGGTATGAAAAAGCACCGCTGAACATCAGAATGACTATTAATAAGGATAATATTTTATTATTTAATAAGCATATTTTCAAGAAATGTACAGTTTTACAAAATAAATTAGCAGGATTTCACCACTGCCATTTTGGTGCAAGTTGAGAGTCTTTTTTCTTACTCTCCAGCCTCTCTCTTTTCACCTGACAACAGGATTTTATAGTTCAGGAACTTCCATCAACACAAAATATCCAGCATGTGGAATCTGTTGATGAGAAGAAACAAGTGCAACCCCAGAGGACTTATGAGAAACGGGAAAAGAATGTGCATGAGAAGGAGAGACAACAGCATAAGCTAAACAAGGGATTCTTCAAGAAGAAATATGAGCCCTGTCCGAGATGGCAGGATGTTGATCTCATGTTAAAATGTGGGTATGTGATAGTTCCTTGTAATATTTTTTTCTGATATCTGCAGGCTCCGTGTACTGTGAATGGTGGTGATCCCTCTTGTTGAAGAGAAGAGCTTCAGTAATGCCAGGTCTTCTCCACACGTGTTTAGTGTGTCTACTAGCAGTGGCACATTATAAAGAGTTGGTTATATGCTTTATACATTTTAGTACAAGTGTATATATATTCCTAATTAGACAATAGCTTAAGTTAATAAACACATTTACAGTGTCAAAACCCTTTCTGCCCAATTACAGACAGAAGATTTGGGGAAACAATTTCTGAAAAGATTTATCACATGTGGTCTTTGATAAATAGATCTAGCATGGCCTGAGCTGTTGCAGCTGTACTTTGTGATATATGTAGTCATTTGAGGAAAAACTGGCTCAAGATAAAAGTATCTCAATTGTTTAAAAACTGCTTAAACGTCATCTCAAATTGTTAAATAATGGTTGCGTTAAAAAAATAACCATTTCAAAATAGAAGCAGACATAATGACTCCTATTTCACATCATTACAGTTTAACAGCTGAAAGGTCCAGCAAGAGCTTTGGACAGGAGAGGTCTGGTGAATTAGAGAAGAAAAAGAAGCTGGGACCAGGAGCCAAGAGCAAGTTGAAAGCAGGATTCTCAGTGTCCTCTTTACCTGGACACATTTCCTCCCAGAAAATGTAAGTGTCCTGAGTTAGTTCTCTCTCCTAATCTATAAAGGTTTTTTCTTTCACTGTAGGTAGAGGAACTTAAACAGGGTTTTGGTACTGAGAAGAACAGCTAAATACTGCTTTTATTAATTGTGAATTTGTAGGGA